ATCTGCTTCCACAAACACACTCAAATTGATTTACGAAGTTTGAAGTGTCCAGCATTGGTGACTGGTCTTTCCCAGATTGTTGAAGCACTCGCTTGGTGGTGTTAAGGAAAACAAGTTTTGCAGCATAATAAGTTCTCTTGATGGCTTTGTCGAGTCTTCGTTTGACTACTTCCTGTACATCATCTTCTCTGAACGGCAAACTGGTATACACAGGTTTCTTCGGAAATGTTTGGATTGTTTTGCAGGGCCTATTTTCTTTAGAGTATTTATTAATGAACTTCTCAGGATATCCATTCTTAGATTAAATATGCTTCAGAGATCTTTCGATTGTGTCATCATTCATTTTCGCTAGAAAAACGTCTAGGAATTTAATATTATCGTTTTCCTCATGTTCTACTGCGAAATTGAGATTCGGATGGCATGAGTTGAATTTTATTAAATCACGAATTGGTAGAAGTTAGAATTCATGGACTGGCCATTGAATCTGGTTCCAGTGGCTAAATGGAATGCGAACTCGCCTTGTAACCGTGAGGTCCTGGGTTCGAAACCTACTGGGTGTATACTGCTGGTGGGTCCTGAACTAGGACAAAACAGCTGTCCAGTACTCCCTGGTTTCCAATGGTTCTCTAACTGATATCTAACCTGTAACAAATACAATCCCTACAAACTAATTCTTGAAAGCAGTTTTACATTTTGTTTCTGAAAAATTAAATATTTCTGGAGAGATGTAAACTGAGAAGCTATTTATAACTGATTTGTGCTATTTTGGGTCTTTTAAGAATATCACATGTTAGTGTGACTCGTTCCGCCAACATCACTGTTTAAATGTGGCAGCAAAATAGTGTGTAGTGTTGTTTTACTTGAAGTTTTATTAGTAGCATGAAGATAAAATATTTTAAAGCAGATAAATAAAACTGGCTTGATGAAGTAAAGTGTGGTGATACTGAAAGTTTTTGCATTGATCGTATTCGAGATAAAACACAATTAGACTCATGAATGTTATTATTATTATTATTGTCCCCTTGAGTTCTAAGTCGAACACGGGCCTTCAGCAGTACACCTCCATTTCATCCTATTCTCTGAAGTCACCATCAGGTGGCTTCATCGTCGCATTCCCAACTAGTCATTCTCCACTCAGGTTCCACTCGAAGCCCTTGTGCGTGGTGTCACTAAGCGATCTTCTCAGAGATATTCATTGCTACAGTATCTATCATAATTATTATTCTTCCCTTGAGGTCGGTGTGGAGCATAGAGGATCAGCAGCACATCTCAGTTTCTCTCCATCCTCTGTATTTGTTTGTAGCTGACTCTGCAACTGCCTATAAGCCTTCATTTCTTCGTCAAATGATCTCCTCCACATCACGCTTGGATGTCCAACGCTTCGTTTCACTCGAGGGGTTACTCAAGAGTTTCCACAGAGTAAGTCCGATCCATCTCCATTTTCTTTAGTATATTTCTGGGATAGTAGGTTCTTGGTTGGTTTGTTCGCAAAGATCTTTGTTGCTAATTCTTTTCTGGCTATCTGATCTTCAGTATGCAGCGAGGGCAGCGGCTGATGAGAGAGGCAGCCTATTGAGAAAGCCTTTCAAAAGCAAAAGCTGAAAAGGGTTGATACAAAACATGTTGGACAGCATTTAATAATTATAGAGCAACTTAGGTGACTAACTGATGACATATTAGAATAACCAGTTGTATAAATACAGCGTCTGTTGTTCAGTGGCTTAATGCTCGCCAAACACGAAAGTGGGCCAGGCCCGGCTCATGGCCGATGCATCCCTAAAATTCTCCTAAGGGGTAGTAATGCTGGAGAATAGGGAAGGTTGTGTATGAAGCTAGCAACCACACCTCTTAAAAATCCCAACATCGATTGTAAGACTTCAAAAACTGAAGCTCTATATTTCACTTAGAACATAAAGGAATTCATCGAATGAAATAACATGAACAACGAAATCGACTTTCTCACCAATACTTTAATATTCCGCAGATCTGCTTGTGTCTATTCATTTCAAACTTCATCTTGTACTTTCACTTTCTTCGTGATTTGCACATTCTATTTCTAAAATATTAGGATTACAAAAACAGGTGTTTTGTGAAAGGATTCCCTTTCCCAGCGATGTCGTTCTTAAGCTGTACGCTAGTGTGCACATATCAAATATTGTTATAGCTACAAAATGAACGAAAGGTGTATTACTGAAAAATGCTTTGAGTTTTAAACAACAATCAAGAGGTTTGAGCGGAACTTACGTTGGGACTGAAGTGATATTGATTGATGTTAACATCTTCGACAGGACTGAATAGAATTCAACCAAAATTGAAAGATGGTCAAGTCAATATCACTGTCACAAGGACAACAGATGTAGCTGTTGGAGAAGAGAAAATGAAAAAAATAAAGATTTTTTAAATATTTAGACAAATTATGTCCTTCGAAAATTTCGGTGACTGTACAAACCTCTTGATTAGATAATTTAAAATTAGATAATGAAGAAAAAATGGTTAGTTTTGGCATTGTCAGTTTATATACACGTATACCAATAAATATGGCTATAGAGGCAGTCAGAAACGAACTCATTTCTGACCAACAACTTGAACTTAGGACAAAAGTGCCACTTGAGGACATAATGCTGGGAGTACAGCTATGCCTGACTTCCACAGTATTTAAATTTCAAGGGAAAATATACAAACAAACTGAAGGAGTTGCCATGGGATCACCAATATCCCCGGTTGCAGCAGATATATTCATGGATAAGTGTGAAAGCATAGCGATTGAAACGTTCACCCCCACCCACCCTAAAAGTATGGTGGAGGTATGTAGATGACGCATTCACTGTACTTAAAACACAAGATATAGATAGGTTTTTCGAACACATCAACTCGAAGGTAGAGGCGATTCAATTCACTTATGAATTGGAAAGTCAGGAAGGGGAGCTCCCAATGTTAGATTGCAACGTAAAGAGGAAAGAAGATGGGAAGTTAAACACTAGTGTTTACAGGAAACCCACACACTCAAATAGATATTTAGACTTCCGATCGTCCAATCCTATGTCAGTAAAATTGGATTGGTGAAATGTTTAAATGACACAGCACAAAAACTAAGTAGTATCAAGGAAAATCTAAGACAGGAAGTGAGACATATAAGAGCAGCCTTGAAACTTAATAATTAGCCTGATAAATTAGTCAGGAAAAATGTAAGGAAATGTAAAATTAAAATAAATAGTGATAGTTGTGATAGCGATGATAATAGTGATAATGATAATAATAATAATATTAATGACGACATGCGTGTCAAATATGCGCATCACAACACCAACAATAAAGAATCTAAATCACCAGCAGTAATTCCGTACAAAGAAGGAACCTCGGAAGCCTTACGCAGAATTCTTAACAATGCTGAGAGGAATAAAAGTGGCTGGAATTCAAACCAACCACAAACTCAATTAGAAACAAGCTTCGTCGGTTACAGGATCCCGTGGAGACTTTAAAACAAAACAATTTAGTTAATCTAGTACTCTGCTGCAATGATTGTCAGGTCAAATACATAGGTCAGAGTAGTAGAACAGGTGCAGTCAAACTAGCCGAGCATAGAAACCTAACAAAATCTAGATTAGTTGACCTCAATAAGGTAAGAAATCTAGAGAATAGTTCAGCTACACCACTCACTACATGCAATTACACACAACCATACAATAGGATGGATGGGATAAGATGACAGTTTCCAAGTCTAATGTCATAGGGTGGGGGGAGAGATTGATAACAGAAGCTTCGTTTATCGAATCAACTGCAAATACATGTAATAGGAATGATTCATCACCTGTCCTCGATATCTGGAAAATTCTACTACCCATACGACAAATAGGAGAGAACAAAGAATACTATAAAACTCAAGTGTCAAAGTCGTGTGATTACAATTGATATGATTATGAACAATAAATTTTGTTCGAAACATTGTCATCCAGTAAATAATACTGTTTCACTGTGTGATATGTCTAATAAACAAACTAATATGGAATCATTTTGTGTACTTTCCAATAATTCTGGGTACTTCCTGAGTCTAGTCTGACATGTTTTTCTTTCACATAAATTGCTGTTATCACTGAGTTAATTTTGAAATCTACGACTGCCTCATTTAAGCACGAAATGTTTCCTCAAAAATCGCACTATTTAGAGTCATATCTGTTTAAAGCACGAGCTATTAAACAGCTACTTTCCTAGGAAGGCTTCTGAATTAATAGAAAGTTGTATGGCTTAAAAGTGAGTAAGCATATGTCTTTTTTCTGAAACAGAAATTTGTTTCTAATTGGTGGATAGTGACTAGCAGTGGGATCCAGTATGCGCACTTCATCCTATATGGGACTCATCATCTGAATGTACCTGAGAACATCATCACTCACTGGGGAACGCATGTACATCCAGATGACGAGTCCCAAATAGGACAGACGAAATGTGCATTCTGGATCCCGCTGCTAGTCACCATCTACCAATCAACTTCTAATTACATGCCTAGACATCGTCGAAGCATCTGCACAAGAAGCCGACTTGTCAACCTGAGACGGAGCACTTCGATCCAATCTATCGACAGGAAAATCTAAAATTCAATTAAAGAAATATGTTTTGAAGCATCTTTATGGTTTACAGGTTCTATTCGTTGAAAATCTCACACCACCGAATAACGTAAGCAGCTATCAAGATATTTTGTTAGAAGTTATCACCTACGCTATGAGTTTAAAAACAATAGTACTTTCTTTGCAATGACAATTCTAAAAAAGTTGTTTTAACTATATTATTAGTTCTTTTAGAAAAAAAATTATTTTCACATTCATGTCTTGTGAGAAGATATTGTTGACGTCAGTCTAACCAAATACTGTTGCAATTATGCTTTTCACATACATATATTTGAATCATTGCACTTTAATATTCATATATATTCATATTAATTTCATGTTATAACAAGAATTTATTTATGGCACATATAATACAACCAATGCGAATCAGTCAAACTTTAAGCGTTATGCGTGTTGTGATTGGACAGCACAGTGATTTCACGTACTCATTTAGAGCATACTAGTTTAACTGTATTAACAGTTGGATAAATCACGAGAAAAGTTAGCCAGTTTACTTTCTGGGTTGATAACACACTATTATTGAGTGAAACTTGAAAAAATGAGTGGCTCCAAACACAGTGATGCCATTGATGCGTAAGTCGACGTTTTGTTCTTTCTAGTGTTATGTCAGGTGATTCTGTTGAAAATAATATCAAATGTTAGTAATTATATTCGAAATTTATCCTTGTTTCTTTTGTGTTCATTAAATTAGTTCACTAATTCAAGGCATTACCGCGTAAAAGTAGAGACTCCTTCGTCAGACGTTCGGTTGACTGTGTGTAAAATCGAAGAAATGTTTGTTATTCAACGAAGATATTGAATATCAGTTATGATGCATGACTTCACTGCAGTCTAGTTTAATCCCTTTTGTTCACCACACTGAATACTACCGCTTTTTTCCAGTCAGTAACGTGTATTTTCCATCTAGGAAGTAGGATTCAGTTTATACTAGCGAAACTTTGAATCTTCTGATCCTTAGCGTCATTGCCATGTATCACTCAAAGTACCCTACAATTCACTTCTGCAGATTGATGCGTTAATGCTTTCTACCTCTTGTTAAACAGTATTGTTATTATTTATTTACCTAAGGCTTTAGAAATGTTAGATTTTATTAGTTTACAAACCGTCTACGGTGTTTAAAATTGTCAAGTATCTTCTGTACATGATCCAGCCGGTGTAGTGTAAATTAGTCTGTGAATGACAGTCACTGTTTCTTAATCTGATTGTGATTCAGTTGCAATTTAAAGAATCTTTGTTAACTGAAGGCGAGTGAATTTTTGACAACTATAGTTGCCCAAATGCGTCGGTGGCATAGCGGTTAGGACGCTCGCCGCCGACCATGCACATGGTCCGGGAATCGATCCCCGGTCGACGCACTCCTTTACCTCGCTAAGCCAGAACTAAAGCTGGTGAAGAGGAAAGGGCCTCTAGCTTGAAGCCCTATGTTCCAATGGGAACGTGAAGGAATAATAAAAATAGTTGCCCAATATTTACAGCCTTTTACCTCCATTAGGATAAAGTCATTTCTAATTGCTTAAATCTGTTAAACGACCTTGTTTGTGTTTTTCTAATATTTGGAAAGCATATTTGAAAATAAAGTTGTTACTTTCCCTCTCTCTCTCTTTACTGCTAATTCTTTTCTCCGGATAAGATCCAAGCTCACCGGCGAATCGAGAAAATTTGTGGAAGCTTTTTATTCTTTGGATGTAAATGGTGATGGTTATGTTTGTTATGAAGAATTAAAAGACGGTTTGAAAAGTTGTGGTGTTTCAGATGAATTCATACAGGTGTGTTCAATCAATTAAGAATATTTACATGAGCGTTAAGTATAATTTTTATGTCAATTCGCGAAGACAGAACCAATTCTGTACTTTTTTTCTTTATTTCCTTAAAGAATTGCACGGCGTATTATTAATTTCTTATTAAATTCATGTACGAGTTCATGCAATCTTTATCTGATATAATTGTATGATTAAATCAATAAGAAATGCAGAAGAGTCTGGACATTTTGATGGATAGCTCAGTCATTTATGCAGGCCGTGATTATTTTGTCTTAAAGGGAGGACCTTGAAGCCTTTTCACTGACAAAAGCTGCACGTCCAAGCTCATCTGATTAGAGTCCATCGGAAGTTCCAACCCACCAAGGTGCAGTGGTGAGCTTCCACTCGTGGTCATTGAATTCTTGATCACCCTGAACGCGGTGCCAGTATCCAGATCATGGTCCAAGTACTATCACTGGTAGCATTGTATGGATTATCATGTTTGTTTATATTAACTAAAGAACTTAACTGACAAATGATATCAGCATAAAAATGTGGTTTTGATTAAAGCAGTGTAGGAAAACACAAATGAGCGATTATAGAGATTGAACGAATGTTTATTTTCTTTGTTATTGAGGGAATAGTGATGAATTTTAGAGTGTGACAAACTATGAGCTTGTGTACTGCTTCATTATACCGACTTAAATCCCATTTCCATAGGGTGAAAGTTGCGGTTTGTTAAGTTAGAATGCAGCAATCCTCATCAAGATTAGACTGTGCAGTTATAATATATGAAATATGAAATTAAGTACGTTTTGTACAATTAGAAGAAATATCAACGGAAGTAACAGGACCCAAAGTTTAAATACACTTCATTTATCCGCTAGTATGAGTGATTATGGACTAAATGTAAGGTCTGGTTTTTCATTTCTTTACAATCCAAGTGGAACATAGGACGTCAAACTTGATGCCTGAAGTTTCGTTTAGCCATGATGTTTCTACGGAGTGGGGTCGCTGGCCTCACACCCAACTCTCCATCTTTATCGGGCTTATAAAATGCTAAGCGACTTCTAATTAGTGTGTCGATTGGGGGTCCTTTCCTGGACCTCGCACCACTGGACCACTGACGCTCCGAGGCTTACTCATCTTGTATTAAACCGAATTACTGTACTTATTTGAACAGCAGGTGAGAATGTTAGTGTTCCTGTATTGGGTTACAGCTCCCTGTCTAAATAGTAGGGAGTGGCAATGTGTTTCATCTACCAGATATTTGAATATGACAAGCGCCAGTTTTGAAAAACACGAGCTGTCTATCTATTTATTTTTAAAAATTTCAATGATCTTTATTAGAAATAATTAAATAAATAATAATAAAACTGTGTTTCGTTTTTATATTTACAGAAAGTAATGGCATTACTGGACACGAATAAAGACGGAAAAATCACTTTAGATGAACTCTTAAAGGCACTTAAAAGCAGTGCTGATTAGGAAAAATTCCACTGTCATCTGAAATGTGTGTATCAAGGACAAGATAAGATTTGAAAAATAATGACTGCTTTTGGGATTGATGTTATAATAATCACGTTGTTAAACTGGAAAAATATTTTTCTTAATAAACAATCTTATGTAGACAGTGAGGTATATTCTTCTGCTTAATTGTTTTCTGTTACAGCAGTCGAATTCAATAATTATGAATTAACAAATTGGGAATCAGTCGCATTACTTTAATATTCAAGTATTGGTTTGTAGAGATTTGGTTGATTGGTTACAGGATTTCATCATGAGCTGAAATTGGTTAGAGAACCATTGGAAAACCCACCTGGGAGTACTGGACAGCCAGCTCTTTCATTCCACCTAGTTTGGGACTCTTTATCGGTACGCACCCCCCGGGGTTCGAACCCAGGACCTTCTAGTTACAAGGCGAGTTCGTATACCATTAAGCCAATGGCCCATGAATCCTAACTTCTGCCAATTCACGATATAGCGCAACCGCTAGTCAATGTCTTCGGCGAGTATTTGTCCTCACATCCGACCTGCTGCATTACTTTAATTTTGCGTTCTTTGACTGGCAGTAAAACTGCGATAAAATGAAATTATCAATCTATCCTAATAACACGTTAAACTGACACAATCAGTGAAATATTTCGGCTAAACTGTTTACAGTCTGTAAGATTATTTATGACCAACAAGATGAGTTCCGTCAACTCACCTTTGTTGGAAAATAAATTGCTTTGTGTATAGGCAAATCTAATAACTCTGTACTGCAGTTCGGCATTACTTAATGTAGGCATTTTCAAAAAAACATTGCATTCGGTATGTTCCTTCTTCAGTCGGTGGAAGATTACGTTTAATACTTCTGAAATTCTAAGTAGGATGTACTCTGTTGTTAAACTATGTAAACGACCCAACAGTTGACATGAGCACAAACGTCTACAAAATAGGAAATCAAGTATAGAAGCGTTTATACTTCGGGCTTGTACCTACTAGTTTTCTTCTTAAAAGCAAATAAAGACAGATTCCGGATTATTCAGAAACATTTTGCCTGCCAACTTGTTCTAAAGCTATGAAGGTTTAGATTTACAGGGACGCATATCCATTATTCCAATTAAATAAATCGGCGTCATGTTCCATGAAATGAAACATGTTTACCTCCTAGGATCATAACCAAAACGTGGTAATTTTATAGGTTCATGGGTTTATTGGATACTGAAAAGAAACAGTCATCTCAGAAAATGTGAATATGTCTCACTTGCCAACTGTGATTCTAACCTACAAATGGATCTGATAAGCTTCAGTCATATGAGAGGTAATTTCATATTAGTTTGTTTATTAGATATATTACACAGTGAGTGAAACAGTATTATTTACTGGATGATGTTTCGAACACAATTTATTGTTCATAATCATATCAATTGTATCCACAAAACTTCGAAACTTGAGTTTTATAGATTTCCTTGTTCTCTCCTATTTGTCGTCGTTGGGGTAGTAGAATTTTCCAGATATCTGGGTGGACACGTGTTGAATCATACTTATTTCACGTGTTCCCACTTGATTCTGTTATCAATCTCTCCCTCCTCCCAGCTGTGACATTAGATTTTAGAACCGTCAACTTATCCCACTCTATTGCATGGATGTGTGTAACTGCATTTAGTGAGTGGTATAGCTGAACCATTCTCCAGATATCTACTTTTATTGGTGTCAACTAATCTAGATTTTGCTGCCAGGTTTTTATGCTCGGATAGTCTGATAACATCTGTTCTACTACTTTGACCTATGTATTTGACCTGACAATCATTGCAGCAGGGTATTAGATAAACTAAATTGTTTTGTTTTAAAGGCTCCACCGGATTGATCATTTAACCGACTAGGCTTGTTTCTAATTGAGTTTGTGGTTGGTTTGAATTCCAGCCACTTTTATTCCTGCCAGAAGTGTTAAGAATTCTGCATAAGGCTTTTTTATTCACTTGTGTTCCAAGTAGAACATAAGGGTTCAAGTTTCAGTTACGGTAGTGTTTTTACTGGGGTGAGTAGCTAGCCTATCATTCAAACTTCCCTCCATTCTGGACTTCCTATTATTATTCCCTTAGGTTCCGAGCTGAACATAGAGAGTCTGTAGCACATAGCCATTTATCCCTCCTCTCTGTAATCCTCTTTAACAAGCTGTACAATAGCCCATCAGCCATAATCTCCTCCATCTCATCCTTGGACCAATGTACAACTCATGGTTTCCCATGTCGGTTCCACTCGAGCTATGGCCTGACGCATAATATCAATAAAAAATCTCCTCAGCGTGTGTCCAGTCAATCTCAGTTTTCTGGACACCTGACCTTCAGTTTGCAGCTAGCGAAGACAGCTGTTGGTGAAAGTCTTCAGCGGCTTGTTGCGAACGCTCTAGGAGGCATGTACGCTAAGTTAGTGAACCGTATAGAAGAGGCAACTTGACATTACTATTAGGAATCGAAATCTTGTTTCTTACGCTGAGTGCAGTAAATTTCCACACTGGATTCACATAATTGAAGTTCTGTGATTTTTTTGCCTATTCTGATTGACTATCTTTGACATATTTATTGCTTCTACCTGAAAGTGAAATAATGCTATCTGGATAAGTGAAAGGCATGATAGTGATCTGTGGGGTACCTTCTTTGCCTCTGTCTTCTTTATGTTCACCTGAAGTCATATCTTCGAGGGATATCAGGTGAATTTACCACCAGCAAACTCTTAAAAGAAGTATGAATATTCAGGTAAAATGACTTTCCGATGAAGATAACTGTCAGTCTAGTCCAAGTGCATTGTAAAGCTGCCTCATTTCTCTCGATTTTTAAAACGCTGTAATTCCACAATAAAACAGTTGGAGAGACCAACTACTGAGTGGACCTGTTCGCATAAGGTTGTTGACATAAGTCTAATAGGACTAACAAGTATTTCGAACAAATTCTTATCAAAATTGCAGTTTTTCTGAAAACTTCAGATATTCCAACAATCTCTTACTTTAAAAAGCCATTATGACCTGAAAATGAACTCTCAGGATCCGTTTCTTGTCAGGCATAGAAATATAGATTGAAATCTTGTGTTCTTGATTCGAAGTGTATAAGTCTAGACATTATGTCGCCATTATTAAGCTGCAGAGTGAATGACATGGTTTAAGAAGTGTGCTTCAGATGTCAGCTATCTTCACGACTTCCTGCTAGGCTAGCCATTATCTCTGTGGCTTAACAAAACACCCAGCAATTATGTCTCACAGTTTAATTCGTCCTCTTAAGTCAAAGATCTCTTAGGAATGTACCAGGTTTTTTTCGTAAGCTTAGTTTTAACCCCATCAAATAACTTTCTTTATGTCTACTATACACTTGAAATGTTCATAAAATTTTTCAGGCTTCTATTTATTAATTGCGTGAGAAAGAAGGCTGCAAACATGACCTTGAGTTAAGCCCTGTTAATTTCATCGATTCAGCCGTTCTAAATATTCAAATGAGGTTATGAACATTTTTTATAGGACAGTTAAATAACTCTTTGACTTTTGTGTCAGGGAATGCCAACATAAACACTTTATATCAATATGTGGGCTAATTTTTTTCCTTCACGTTCCCAGTGTAACATAGGACTTCAAGCTGGAGGCTTGAAGTTTCTGTAGCAGTGTTTATTTCTACAGGATGGGGTTGCTAGCCTCATGCCCAACCTTCCCTCTTTACCAGCTTTTATTTCTGTCTCATCGAGGTAAAGGAGTGCGTCGGCCAGGATTCAAACCCCGGACCATGTGCATGGTTGGCGAGCGTCCTAACCACTGTGCCACCGACGCAAATATAAGCTAATAATAGTGGCTATAATTCAAACAGTACATGTGATCCAGTGTGGATTTTTAACACGTGGTACAATAGTGCATCCAACTTTCTTTTTACAAGACACAGTATTGGGGAGGGGGGATATGATCAACAGTGTGTCTACATTGGTAATGAGAATGTGAATGTGGAAATGAAATTAAGTGGAATCCACGAGAACAGTGTACTGATGAAAGAAAGAATAAAAATAGACGTCTACTTACTGTTCGGCAGTAAGTTAGCTGTTCTGTACTTGACCCTTTTCTCATCGCATAAAATGCATGCAAATTAAGGTTTGTGAAGTCTGGGACAATATAACTGTGCAGTTTTTTGTTAGATGTTAAAAATGGAAGCATTGCACATAACTTTTGTTTAAAGCGATTTACTGAGTACAAACTAAAATACATAGTGCTACCCATCGCTTCGTCTTCTCACTGGTCCATACTGTCTACTTGCCTCACTACTAACCGTGTTGTATGCTTTGGATTTTGCGGAAACTTCTCATCTACGTCCAAAGACCATCCCACAACCGGTGAGCAACTTCTACCAGTAGACATGACCCCAGAAGTGAATGTTTCTGTGAATCATATTAATAATTTATAGCAGCCGAATTTAACTGTATTACTAAGCAACCATTAATTTATATAACTTATTAACTGTATTTTTTATAATATACTGTTACAATATTATTCCATAAACGCGGATTTTTATTCTGATATTTTGTACCGTTACCGCGCCCGCTATTAAGTCCCCTACAGGTATCGTTCTGTCTTTTACACTTAGTTATCCAAGCATAAAGTCATTCATAATTGCTTCTAGTCCTGTCTGGTGAGATACAAGGAGAGAGTTGTATACAAATAAGGTGGTCAGAGTCCGACAAGATGATATTTAGTAGTTTTTTGGATGAGTTTAGTTGCCCACCTACAATGACATTAACTGGTTGCTTTAGTAACACCTCACCCTCCTTACTTACAGCTTTTAGTGTCCCTCTTGAAGTAACAAAGTTTTTCTCAGTAACTCAGGAAATATTAAGAGGAAGCAGTAAAGAAGAATGGGTAGTATACAAGACTTGACAGACTATGAAAGCAGAGGCCAAGTGATACTAGATTGTTTTGACTTCCTAGAAATTGGCATTATGTGGGAAGACCAGGTTAATTTAAAGGAATAACACAGTCCAAGGTATTTAAAATTCGAATTGGTTTCAACTTCAGTGTTTTATATAATGTTAGAATCAGGGAAATTTCGATAAAGACCAACGACTAATTTTTGATAAAAAGCGATTTATTTTGGAATAGTGTGATTCGAAAGCAGTCAGAGCATCGCT